AAATTGTCAACAATCTAACTTGCAACTATATAAATATCTACTTAAATGTTTTTAAGAGCCCTGCTTTAGTCTAGGATTTTCCACTAGAGACAGTAGCAGCAATGTAACAGATTTAAGCTTGCTTAATATTTTATCAACAAATTTAATATATTAGTCCAGGGTTTCTCATTAAAGGCAATATCAAACTTTATTGACATTAGCTAGTTATATTTTTATGAAGGCCAGCCTACAAATATTAATCCAAGGTTTTTCATTGGAGACAACTTTATAGACTTACTAAGTAAAAGGTTCTTTGGTTTTTGTTCTTCTTCTTTGATTGATTTACTCACTATTAGTTTCAATCTGTTTCTATTTCTTTGAGACATGTATTGTATTACCTATACCAGTATTATTGAAATAAATATAAGGTACAGTAGCAACAAAATATCGAATGCCTTGTACTTACTTGACTATAAACATAATGGAAACAATGAATCGATGTAAAGGTTTAAATAATAATTAAGGTGTCAGTTTATTTAGTTAATAAAAGATATCAGTTAAAGTAGTCAAAAAGGTGTCAGTTTATTTAGTCAAAAAAGAAAAAACTGAGTATACAGTTGCAACAAAAGCAAAGACAGTTAATGTAACAACTGTAAAAATATTAACAAGTGATAAAAATATACCTTTGATTGTAGCCATGTGGTAATAGACAGCTATATATATTTAAATAAAATCAATTGTTTAGCCAATATATAAAGAGATACATATATTTTCTTAAAAACTAGTAAAAAATAGGAAAAAAATATTTGCAGATAAAAAAAAAAGTTCCTAGACAAGATACCTGACAGTAGAGATGGTAAAACAATAAAAGTAAAAGAAAACAAAATAAAAAATTGTCAAAAAAATTAAAAAAACTTTTTTTTATTTATTGTTCAATTATTTTTCTCTACTATAGATTACTATTATATTGATCAATTTTTAACAATTACTATCTACTCAAATAATTATGGTAACTTGTATCAATTGGCCTATATTAGTATTATATTGGATATTATAATAGCATTATTATATAATTGTTGTAATATACAGGTTGCTTACTTTATTAAAATTTTTTTTTACCTTAAAAAAAGTTTAAACAATAAATATCGTTCCAACAATACATTAAACAATACGACAAAAAAATAAAATTTAAAATAAATTATCAGTATTTCTTGCCAAAGGACCTTTCTATTATGACCTCAAGTTAGAAATCACAATTTTTATCCAAAACTAAATAATTTGCACATTTGATCTGAACAGATTAGATCAAAAAATTTAAAATCTGATCTGATTTGTTCAAATCAAATTCATGGATCTTTCAGTTTTGGATAAAAATTGTAATCCCTAGACTCTAGAACCCACACCCTCCTAGTTTAGTGTATCCCAATCTGGTGCTCTACTTAAATGAAAATTAGTCACATAGAACTGATTCAATGCCACAAATGGTGATAAAGAAGGAAAGTACCTTTTTTGAGGTTTGAGTAAATAATATCTGGGAGTATTGAAGAATGAATCAAATCTCATCGATATATATATAATATAACCTAGTTTAGTAAATATAATACAAAAATTTATAAAAAGCTCACTATTAAATTAGCCTGTTTTGCTATTAATGATTGTGTATTTGATTATCTGGTTCCTAGCTAGGTTTTCCCCACTTACAGAGTAATAGCAAGTTCATCTATAGTAAATCATGATAGGTTATTATTAATTTGTATGGATATAGAAATATATAGTTTATATAAGATGATTAATATAATTGCTATAGGATTTAATTATCAATCAAATTGTTAAGTTAATTCTTAATAAAAGCTTATATCTAATACCAGTTATGGTTTAAAAAAATAATAATAATAATAATTAATAGGTAGTACAAGACTTTTGTAAGCTATCATATGTGCTTAAATAATATTATATCTTTTTTAATCTTGTTGATATTTTTAATTTTATTATGCAGGCCCAAAGAATCATTGTTTTATATTAAAGCTATAGATTTTAAGACTTTTGATATACAATAGTTCATATTTTATTTGCATTTATTCTTTAGTATAATTACAATAATTATAATTCATTCAATTTTGGATATAGTTATACTAATTCATAAATAATTGATTTTTGATTTTAAAAAATATTTTTATAGTATATATAATCTAAATAATTACTCATAATTTATTTGACCTACTATAACATTCAAACATGTCATCTATGATAACTAAAATTATTGAAAAATTCAATTTCAACTTCAATACGAATGTGTCCAATCTTAGTAAATATACCCTAGAATTTCTTGAAAATCTTACTGATAATAAAAAGTGAAATCAAGATCAACAACACCTTCAGAATGGCTTTAAATTTAGCAGTGAGCAGGTAAGCATATTAATACCTAATCAGATAAGTGAAAAAAATAAAACTATAAATTTGGTTAAGAGTAATTGTAAAATAGTTATAATCAAGCCCTCCAAAAGTTTGGAAGAAGAAATTATCAAAGAGATAACAAAGAATCCTACAGAATAAATATAGTTTTAGTGAACATCAAGTAAATGTCTTATTTTCTTCCCAGAAAAACAAAGGCAAAACTATGTACAAAGTGCCCTGTTCCACAATAAACATTGTTATTTCTAAGAGACAAAGTTATCTTTCTTCAAAAGATCAGATTCCACAAGAAACAATTGGAAATATGGTGCAATGAGTTTTATAGAATAAACTTAGCATTAGAGATATAAGAGCTAAAGCTTATGACTTAGCCCTATTGACATTAAATTCTAATGCTGGTTCTTCACGTTTATTATGACTTAGAAGAATTTTGGTGTATCATCTGAGATAATCGATGCTACAAAATTTCCTGAAATTATAGAAAAAGTCAATGAAATCCAGCAGAATCAGCATAAGTTTGTCGAGGCATTTGAAAATATTGACTATCTGGATCATTTTACATTAGAATCTGTATGATGTATCTACTTTACCCGACTTACAAGCTCTCACAGATGTTATGATAATGCTTTGTATCTGCCTCGCTGAACTTATCTGAAAAATCGCTGAATAATTTAGATGCAATAGCATCCTCACATTGTGAGACTATTGAATATAGCATGGCAATATTGGGAATGGTTCATAAAATAACCCCTCTTTCTGGTCTAAAGATAATAAATGGAAACAGGTGAAAGTTAACCATATTTTAGTTCCTAATAAACCAAAATTTGCACATGTACTATTATCTCCATGGATCCAGGCAAATACAGTATCTCGGAAATGAATTTTCTCAATCATACCCTCACTTTGCTTGATAAAACCGATGTATTATTGATGTTCCACGAGAGCTCCCACCACCAAAACAAATATCCATACTAGTAAAAGAATATTTCAAGATAATTAAATATTACATAACAGCATTGGGTGTAAATAATAACAAAATATACCTTAAGGAACAGTTCCTCCGTGGGCTATCACCCGAGAATCAGATAGAAGCTGGAAGACGTGGATTGAAACTTCCATTAGATGAGCTAGTAGAGCAACTGAGTAAAATTGAGAATATACGAAAATGAGTAATACATGCTTCTAAAATTAATTATCCAAACATTAGTTATATTCTGATATATACTAATTAGCAATGCCTAATTTACTTGATTTTCTTTCACCAGAATTAATACCATTAATAACAAAGCATCTTCCGATCCAAGATCTTAAAAATTGCTGTAGTTTAGATAATATATGAAAAACCGAAGTGATTAGAGAAAATTGCAAAGGTTAATAGTGGACTGTACATTTATTGATCGTAAAACAACTGTTAAAGCACTTATTGATCCCAAATCTTAGTATAACAGTATCAGCAAGGCGCTTGCCCGAAAAATGGATTTATATATTACTAGAATGTATGGATCTAAATACCCATCAGTATAGGATCTTGTTATTGGCGCAACAAATGCCGGCATGAAAGTAATGAGGAGGGGTTGGATTGATAGAGAAGAAGTTTCTGTCACTTTGCCAAATATTTTTGAATCGGAAAATTAAAATCCTTACCTCGATATTTAAACGAAACATTTACTAATTTCGTAGTTATTGACAAACCTGAATGTGACATACAGTAGTTTTAGGAAGTTCATGGCTAACAGGGCGGGGAATTGACATTGATTCTATGGATATAAAATATGCAGGAATGAGCTTTGGGAAAAAAAGGGAATTTTATTGGAGAGAAGATAGTATAGAAATATTACCTCGTTCATTACATATATTCTATGAAATGTTATGTTATTCCCCAAATTAATAGAGATGGAGATATAATTTTAACCCATTTTTCTGATAAAAATATGAAGAATAGCCTGATTGATCTAAGCGAATATTATGATTCAGAATATTCTGAGACGGAGTCCGAATCTAGCGATTCTGAGACTGAGACTGAGTCTGAATTTAGCGATTCTGAAGCAGTGGATGTATCTCTCCCGATTATAGTGTAAGTGGCACGATACAAGATAATAGCGGAGCTAGTGTAGAGACACATAATATCGATTTTATTTCCACATTCAATAATAATCTCAGAGAGACTGGCGCCAATTATTCATCATGGGTTACAAATAATTATATTTAGTATCGAAGAATGGGTAATTATTTACCGAGTTATTTTTTTTCATATGCAATTTTCTGATCTATACGAACTGTCAGCATATTAGGGAAAGAAATCATTTTTACGTAATTTTTGATGGAACTCCCTTCATGATGTTTGAAATTTCACGTGTGAGGATAAGGGTTCTTTGCCTTTATATTTTATATCGTGTGGGACAAACTCAGTAATAGCATAATTGGTGTCGTATTCCGGGTTTTTAGGCTGATAATTAATTTTCTCTTTAAGGCAATACATACTGTACGTACCATTAAACTGAGATTTTCAGCTGTACCTCTCATATCCCGCTCCAATTCCACAATTGATTTTTATAATGTTCATCTTTAATCTTGTCTTCGCAGTATTGTACAATATCATCGAAATTTGCTTAAGTTGACCATAAATCCTGCGCTAAATAAACAAGTGATGTCCGGAGATCATCAAGTTCTTTTTCTGGGTCCATTTCAAATGTTGAAGACCGCTTTATCTTGATCTTTGAATTAAGTTTGCTCAGTGCATCTTTAATGATATTTATGCCTAATATAGAAAGAAATTCCATGTTTGAACAATGCTGAGCAATGTTATGAATAGCTATATTAGTAGCAAGACGACAACACATGATATTAAGATACTTTAAATTTTTACACGAATGCGCAATATTACAGATAGATGCATCAGAAGCATCACAGGCACCAATATCAAGATGTTCGAGCTTCGGGCAAGAGTTAGCAATATTACAGATAGATAAATCGGTAATAAATCTGCACTAGGAATTTTAATATGTTGCAATAATATATTAACTGAATTATCAGTAATATTCTGACAACCCTTTAAAGAAAGGCGGTAAATACGTATTAGGACATGAGTGGGCTCTTGCAATTATTGTTCGATCAGAAATTGGTTTATACCGTTTTAATCTATCAATACACAGAAGATCTAATTTACATGCTTTTACTATTTTATATACGAAATCGTCATTTATGTTCCCCGCAAAAGCCAATATCGGGATTGCGTGGTTTTTGGCAAGATTGAGCAATTTTACATATGGAGTGACCATTATATCTTGATTACCGCGGACATTGAGAGATTCTAAGTAGGGATATGATCTGGCAATTTCTATAAGTGATGCATCAGTAAAATTTCTATTTTGTTCAAAATTTAGACTTAATTTTGAGCCTTCTTAGGCTTGAACTATAAGATGTTTTCTGTTTCTTACGTGTAGACTTTAAAAAATTTTCCAAAAGGGCAATATTTTTACTGGAGGCAGATGCCCTATCTCTCACGAACTCAAGGTGAGTAACTTCATCGCTAGCATCAATTTCGTTTTCTTTTATTTCGGATGACATTTTTGCAAGTTATATTTATAATAAAATACATTCAAAGAAGAACATATTAATTCAATCTGAAATAATTATAACCACAACATAACTGCGAAATCACATCACGTTGTAATAGGCCTCAAGAAAACTGTGTCATGCATAAATCCGCATATACAGTATATAACGGGATCTCTTTATTTTTTAAAAATTATCGCCTGGCAATTACATTATGTGAATATGCTATTAATACTCATTTTTTATCTAATAATTTTAATAAATCCACCGGCGAATTGATATTCAACGCTCCAAAACGAAATCAATCGATATTATGCTGTTGTCCAGGCACGAAGTGACGTTTCTCCAGAGATAATAATTGAGCCTATCGAGGAAGTGACGATTCATCCGACCAGTAAAAGTGATGCAAATCAATCCGAAGCTTCTTCTTGCTCGAGCCAACGATCATTTTCAGATATAAATTCAGCAATCTGGAACCAATTTAAAATTATTTTTGATATAATTATGGCAGAAAGAGGATGTTCTTACTTTTGGAGTGGGAAAATTTGATAAAGATTCTATTATAGTTATTATAGTAAAATCAATGATTTAAGAGGTAGTAACTTAGATAAAATAAGTTCTTGGATCGATAGCAAAACAGTTACAGTAATAGTGAGTAGTGAGATGGAACCATCATTCTCGCTTTTCGAGGGGCCCAGGAGCCGGCGGGCATGCTTTATTCCTCCCTTTAAACGTCATCTACTCAATCATTTATATCGTTTAATTATGTAAACAATCATGTGACCGTTAATAATTACAAGTCCCGCGATTATCATAAGTGGCTTTGTATTCTCATAAAAGTCTTTACTCCAACGAAATATGGATTTTTTTAAAACTGACGTTGATGAATGGACGTGCGAGAACGCTATAAAATATTATCAGGCAAATAATGTCCAGCTTAATTTTAAACAAATTCTTGATACGATCAACAAAGACCTCAAACGAATTTCAAAATCAGGCTCTGATGCAACGTGTAGAGAAAAAGCAGAGTCTATAATTGTCAACTGGAAGGTATGTTTACGAAAAAAAAAAAAAAAACTGAAAAGGAAGAAAGTTGGAGTATGGTCAAGCCGTACACTTTTGGTCGATCGATTATGAACTCTTGGTTCGTACCTACTTTAATCTTGGCAGAAGCTGAACAACTCTTGGTTGTTTGGTTATGAACTCTTGGTTCCTGCAAAGCCGTATACTCTTGGTCAATCGGTGATGAACTCTTGGTTCGACATTCTTCCCCAAGTCCCCCAAATAAATTTTGATATAGTGCATCTAATTTTTAATCTAAGAAATTTGCTAATATGTTTTTTTTGCTTAGGAATGGACCAAAAATGTTAAGGAGGATTACCGATTGTAATATTTTGATGGTAATTATCTCTAGGCCTATTTATGTAACAAAAAATACACGTGTTTTATTACTTTCTTCCTTTATAGGCAGAGCAACATAATGAGGTTGTCAAACAGCAGTAGTTCGTGATCAAGTTGTAAGGGCTACACTTACCAGACAACTGGAGAATTTTAAAAGTGAGCATGTTCAATTATCAGCAAGAAAAAGTTATAATTCGAATGATTTTGAAGAAGGATCTTCAACTCCACCAAATAAAGTTGGTATATACTGTAACTTAAAATTTAGCTAGTAAAAACATCTGCTGACCCTTTGACTACCTTTTAATGCATAGATCAGAACCTTCAATAAGATGTTCCCGAATGAGAGCCCATCCACAATGAGGGATTTTACGATTACTGGAAGATACGTAGATGAAAATGTTGAAAGAGAAAGCTCAACGATCTACTATACCTTTTCTGCCGAAAAAACGTGCATGCAACACACGGCAAGATGTTGAAGGAGGTATTTCAGATGAAGATTTGGTGAATTCAGTGATCGATGCCTCCAACACTTTCGGCAAAGTCGAATTTCCGTCATATTATAGTAAACTTAAATCTATTTGGACCGATCAAGATGCTAAAAACTATCATTTTATCGATTTAGGGGATAAAGATAATTATATAAGGTTCATGACCTTTTATATGACGATGAGTTAAAATCGTTGTTTAAGAGGTTAGTGTTGGATGATGATGTTATGCACACAGATGAAAAGACACGTGAATATATAGAACTCTTTGATCATATTATGGAGGAAGAGAACTTGGAAGATATTTGTGATGACGTAGTTGTGGACGAAGTAGCTGGCAGTGGTCTTGTATATGAATATAATTAAGAGACGAAAAAGATGGAAGGAGGTAACGAAAAGTTTAACAAATCAATTGCTAAAATGGAGGAAATAGTGCATCAATTGGATTGGATGACTTACCCGAAAAATATCATTACCTATCCAACACTTTTCCTATGTCAGCACAGTATTGTGATCAATCCAAAATGCCTGATGTGTTTATTGTTAAGAGCGTCTCCAGTCACCTTGATACTATCATAAATATGAATGGTGCCATGAAAAACGCCCCTGAACGTATCACGTATTAACATATCTGTTTTTTGTTACATTTGCTTTATCGACTCATTACGTTATTTTTCATGTGAGTGAAGTATTTCTACAAAAATTTGATGTTTAAGAAAATAGTTTTAAAGCTGATGGTGTATTGGTGTTTTTTGAGCGACCCATGCATATTCCATTGTTTTTGCTCGAGGTATCGGAAGGTCCCAATAATCCGGACCCAGATAAAATTAATGAAGATAGATTACTGAGGGTGTTTTTGTCATCAATAAGTTTATGACAATAACGGGACTGCTAACGTGGGAAGTGTGTAGTACATTGAAGGTTTTCTTGGCTCAGGGATTTGGTAAGTTTTCAAAAATGTTTTTGTGTTCAAACATTTATTTGTTTTAGTAATTAATATACTGTATATTACTTATTTTCAGGTGATAATGTTGAAATTGGCCAAATGATATTTATTGGACCTGGATTGTACTTGTTCTCACAATTTACGATTCCAGCTCTCGTCATCCCAACTTCTACTGGTAACTTGGAACATGTACCTCGACTTATTCGAACACTATTGTGTTTACGATAATAATGTTCTTAATGAGGTTAAGATGTTCGAAAAGTTTGCAAAGGAAGGACAGCGACGTATCGCGAAACCTAAAACTAAATATCCAACTGGATTCACACCAGAACGGGTAAAAGCTATTGAATGGACAAGAAGTAAAGGAATGACGAGAAAAGAAAGAGCAGGCAAGAGAGAAAAGAACAAGCAGGCAAGAGAGAAAGAAACAAATGAATACAAGAAAAAAAAATTGAGCAAGAAAAAAATAAATGGGTAAGAGAAAAAGAAATGAGCAGGCAAAGAAAAAGAAATGAGCAGACAAGAAAAAAAGAAACAAACAAGCAAGAAAAAAAAATGAATGAATTAGAATGAATTAAAAAAAACTGATATAAAGAAAACAAAGAGAAAGAAACAAATGGGCAAGAAAAAAAAAATAGTTAAGAAAAAAAAAATAGTCAAGAAAAAAAGAACCAAATGGATAAAAAACATGAATAGATAAGAAAAAGAAAATGGATAAATAAATAAAAGTAAACAAACAAATAGAAAAAAACAAATGGACAAGATACACATATAAAAAAGAAAAAAGCAGATGGGTAAAATAGAAAAAAATGAATAAGTAGAAAAAAAAGGAATAAATAAAAATAACATTTTATAACAAAATATTTCATTTTTTAAAAAAATAAAGAAATTATTTATTTTTGGTCACATATATAATATAGTATATAAATTCAAGAGTTCAAGTAATAATTACAAATATTTCAAAAAAAAATATTGCTTAAAGAAAATAAATACATAAAAATATGTTATTATTACTATCAAACAATGTTGAAGTTAAAATATTTATGAAAAATAAGTTGTTATAATATATACAGAAAAAAATAACAATAATTAGAAAGCTATGAAAACTTTTCAAATAAAATTAGTTCAAGTTCACAAGTGGTATAAAAAAATAATAAGTATAAAATCTTATATCAAATATTTAAATACTGATGTAAAAACAAAATTTCTAAAATTAGATATTAGTTAATTGAATTCAAAATATACATTAAGGACACAAAATCATAATATGTTATATAATACAAAATTATATATGGTCTATAGTAAAAACTCAAAAATAATAGGAAAAATATTTAAAATTTTATTTAATTTTTTTTTTTTTTTTTTTTTTTTTAAAAACACACAACGTTGCCCATTTTATTGATTATATGCGTTACATGTACTC